GCTAGGATACGTCCCCGTGGTGAACAGAGGGCAAAGGGATATCGCGAACAACAAGACTATTTCTTTCGCTCTAGAAAACGAGAGGAATTTCTTCGACAACCACAGAGCATACAAAAACAAGGCTTCGTATTGTGGAACACCATACCTCGCGCGGAAATTGAACCTAGTAAGCCTTTGCAGAAGATTCCCGAAGCGTTTGCTGACTTGCCCAGATCCTTATGATGCACATCAAAAATACCCTGCCAGATATCAAATCTCGCATATCTTCATCCTTACAGAAATATACAACAGAATTAAGTCAGCTGGGCGACTCCATGCTCGGTAACAGCGCCAACATCGTCCTTCAGATAATCACAGAGTTTTGCAACGAATACCGGACCGTCTTAGATGGCAATAACCAGGAGTTATCAAGCATCGAGCTCTCAGGGGGTGCCAGGATCAGCTTCGTCTTCCATGAGTTGTACTCGAACGGAGTCAAAGCGGTAGACCCCTTCGATCAAGTCAAGGACATCGACATCCGAACCATCCTCTACAATTCCTCGGGTTCCTCACCGGCTCTTTTTGTCGGCACCACCGCGTTCGAGCTAATTGTCAAGCAGCAAATCAAGCGATTAGAGGATCCAAGCTTGAAGTGCGTTTCGCTGGTCTATGACGAGCTTGTCCGCATCCTCACAAATATACTACAAAAACCTATACTACGAAGATATCCCTCGCTGAAAGAGAAATTCCACGCCGTCGTCATATCATTTTTCAAGAAGGCGATCGATCCAACCAACAACCTCGTGAGAGATCTCGTCAACATGGAAGCATGCTATGTCAATACTGGCCACCCCGACTTCCTGAACGGCCATAAGGTAATAGAAACCCTTCATCCAGCACGCGATCCCAAGTCCCTTTTCCCTTCAACCAGAGCATTTAAGTCACGTTCCCTGAAGTCAAATTTTTGATCATCTCATTGTCCATCTCTACTATGTAATGTTATCTATGAATCTTACAAAACCCCGCAGGCCATGGCTATTGTCAACGATAGGCACAATGCTGCCAAGCCGACGCAGGTCGACCCCAAGACGGGAAGACCTCTCCCACCTGCCGTACCGCCGCGAGCAGCAAGCCCCTCGCTCGATCTGCCACAAAGTGACCAAGGAGGGTTTTTCGGAAGTTTTTTCGCCCCTAAGAACAAAAAAAAGATGGCTGCCATGGATTCGCCGCCGCCGCAATTAAAGGCCTCTGGGACGCTGTCCGAAAAGGAGGCAAACGAAGTTGAGGTCATAAGTGAGTACATAATATGCTAGGCACTGGCCTGCGCTGACGAAGATTTCAGAACTGCTCATCAACTCTTACTTCAATATTACACGGCGGACTATGATCGACATGGTGCCCAAAGCCATCATGTTGAAACTCGTACAGTGAGAATCTTCACTTCCCCTATTCCGTCTTTCCCTAGCCACTAATAACTGGCCAGACACACCAAGGAAGAAATGCAACGGGAGCTGCTAGAAAACATGTACCGTACTAATGAGCTCGACGATCTGTTGAAGGAAAGCGACTACACGATCAGGAGGCGGAAGGAGTGCCTTCAGATGGTGGAGAGCTTAAGCAAGGCTAGTGAGATCGTGAGCCAGGTGCAATGAGGAACGAATAGAATACGTTGGTCTTCATTTCAGTGACATTAGCAGATCAGACTTGTCAGCATCCTTATTGTGTGGGGGTGCAACGGCATGATACCTTTGCATAGGCGTTATTATCCCTGTTCTCCAGAACTCGATCCGGACGATGTTTTGGCTTTGTTTCACACACAGATAGCAAGATGACTCGAGGCAATCGAAGGGTATAGCACCGGTTCGATTCAAATTCCATTGCGCGTTTCCAACCGCCCCCTCATGTCTAACGGATCGATGGAAGAAACATCGTCCTTCTTGTTTCACAAAGCCATCCGTCCTATCACTCCGTTGAATGGGGCTACCTATTACCATATCCCCTACTTCCCTCATCTACACATTCGCACACACTGATCACATCCGCCCGCTGATGTCTCAGCTACCCCGTACTCTCAAACTACTTATCGTCGAGCATACCTCGGATCTTTCGACGCTGGGTCCGAATCCTCCGAAATGCGTCGGCGTACGATGGCAGTCGTCCTTTGGCTAGATGCGCATCTGCCTCGCGCTCTGTAGTGATTTTTTTTTGTTTTTTTGTTTTTTTTTGGCTGGGGTTACGACATGTGAGAGGGAGTCGGCCCCCCTTTCGGCGTAGCTGTTGGCACAGTGTGCGTGTGCATGAGGCCGGACCCGTTCAGATGAGAGGAGTGCCCTGTCGTGTGTGGTAGGAGCATGTGATGTGATGGGGTTGGGGTGGTTCCGTTGAGCCTGGGAAGGACCCGTTGGATCCTTTTGCTCGCGGGACGGGTGGCATCTCTTCTCGGTGGGTTCGGGGACGGGGGCGGCGTGTTTCGGGGTGCCGATGTTGCTAGGGCATTAGCTTCGTTTTGGACGTTGCGCTTGAAGGTGTTGGGGAGATGGTGGGGGGATGGTGATGGATGCAGTTTTTTGAGGCTTGGTTTGGGCTTTGTTTGGGTAGGGGACTCGGTGATTGTTGCTTTTGGGCTTGGCGGTGTTTGGGAACCAGAGTCAACGATTGTTGCTTTTGGGCTTGGCGAGTGTGGATCGAACGGGATGAGGAAATTCATCGCTGTCGATCTGGGTGGTACAAAGGGTTAGCACAAAGGGAGTGAGTGCGTAATGGCATTGTTGCAGGGCGCAACAATGATGTCTCAGACTCTACTGAACCCTTGTCTTCTTTTCCCCGTGGGAGACACTGCTTACCGTTTCTTCAACTCGATAACCAGTAATTCTTCCCTCTCCAACATCCCCCAGCGCCCATCCGAGATCCCGAACAGTACCCCTGGATATGTCAGCCACCATGGACTCTTCACAAGCCCAAAATTGCATGCGTAATGTCCGACCACGCTTGGGGACTTCGCACTCTTTCGAGGACGTACCACTCAGCCCTCTGCTGGACGAGGGCCGGTCGTCTGATATGTCAAGCGGGTTCTTCCATGTGCCTCTGGAGCATGAAATCATCGCGTCTCGGAGTGTTTGGGATGACTCGGCTGGGTCTGATGAGCTCATCGACCAGCAAGGCATCACTTCGACAAGGCTCTCGGGGCAAGGCTTTTTGACTGAGGTTGACGATCAGTCGCAATGTTCCTCGGAGGCCGCGAGAGACCCAAAACAGGACGAACCTAGCCCAATGTCGGCAACCCTCAGCCTCCGTTCAGATACTGCGTATACTTCAGATCCAATGACACCGAGGACTGCAAGCGCGGTGACCCTGGTTGAGATGCCAGTGGCCCTGGATACAATACCTGGACCTAATATCACCGTCAAGGAGGGATCTTTCTCTTCTCAATCTCTCAGAGACCAAAGTTGGGGCTCTTCAGTATCCAAGAGCGATATTAGCGACCCGCTTAGCGAATCCTCGGAATATAGTGACAGATCAACGGGACCGGCTGACCTCACAATCTCAATCGCATCCGTCAAGGTCGTTGCGCACGCAACTTTCCCCCGGGTCGAAAGACCCGAATCTCCAACGCCCAGCTCGTTCCCCGCCTTCTTCGAGATCCCGATCCCCATCTTTCCCTTCCCGGCCGGCACAACGCGCTGCAACAACCGCAAATGCCCGATCAAGCACCGCCACGAGCAGGGCCCCTATCTCCACGGAGGAAAACTCCGCAGCAGGGAAGGCTCGGTTTTCGGCTCCAGCAATCCACCGCCGGAGATATGGTTCTTGTACGACATGTCGAGGGATGGAAACCTTCACGGCACGGGCAACGAGGCGTTCGCGCCGGTGGAGCTTTTTGTCAGGTATCATTTTGGCGAGACTGGTGGTGAGTATGTCCGCGGGTGCGATGAGGTTGGAGGAGGTTTACGACGGGGGGAGAAGCAGGGGGGGAAGAAGTCGCGGTTCTGGCGGTTTTGGGGATGAGGTAGGCACACGTCTTTATCTAGTAGATCAGGCTAGATGATGTCAATCGATTTAGACCATTTGTACAAAACTCTGATGTTCAACAACTTTCACACATGCCAATCAAAGCGTATGCCAGCTCGGGTCCCCAACATCTGTCTGTAGGCGAATGATGCTGGCAAAGACTTAGATTTCTGTCATGCAGTCCTAGAAAACTAAAAACCATTCCACCATTGGACCAGCGCCATTAGGAATCGAACCTACTACTGAATAAAGCCTCCGCGAAACAGTCCTGTTGAAGGAAGATGCCAAGGCATCGCTCGATTAGGTCTAGCGTCGGATATAGTACATCTCCAAATTACAGAGTACATGATCAACCCCAGGTCTGCCTACACTACGAGACTACCTACTTCATCCACCTCCAACAATGACACGAAGTCCATTAAGTTCAATCGATTTGATTCGTTACGTACGTCAATGCTAAGCTCCATACGGGCCACTTGCGACTGTTCTAGGTCCTAGCTTGTCAATCCATCTAATGAAGGTACAAGACCTGGCTGATACTACACCTGTTGGGTGTACCTAGCTTACATACCGTTGGTCCTGAACCTCCTCGTGCTAAAGTAACGTGCCATGCCGCTGCTTCAGTGTCATGGGAGGTCTGCGTTGTGAATAGTCGCCTGATTAGTCATTTGCTCAATGCTTTGTCTTGATTGGTGCGGGCGCCAACCAGTTGAATGCCAGAGACGCAGGGTGATAAGCCATGTTGCGGCCGTATCACGCAGCCTTGCCAGCTTGACGTCAGTCCCCATCTGGGCTTCGAACGTCAAGTTCCCTTCCTTCTCCTTCACATACCGCTATGTTATCGTATAAGTCTATGAAAGTTCGAAATTTCCACGCGCATAGTCGCTAGCTTTTGAGAGCTAGAATCGCTTGATCTGCGCCGCGAAAACATGGGTCTGGAAATCTTGTATCCGAAACCCGGCAGCGCACAGCCTGATTCTTTTGTCGTCGAGTAAGCATCTCACTCACAGAAGATGCCTGTCTCCTGGCTGATAGCCCCTTCTTTATCCAGTATCATCGCGGTCCACGGACTTAATGGCGACGCTACGAACACCTGGAAGCACCCTAAAAACAACCATTTCTGGCTTCAGGACTCTCTACCGCTTGATGTCAAAGGGGCAAGAATCCTGAGTTATGGCTACAACGCAGACGTAGCGTTTGGTAACACTACTGCTAATGTGTGGGATCACGCCAAAAGCCTACTAGGTAGCTTGATCGATGAGCGCGAAACAGATGATGTAAGACTCCATTACCCTTACCAGCTGCAAACGCAACTTCGATCCTCGCACATTGCATGGTACATCGCTGATGCTAATACTCTCGATGATGTAGGTATCCAAACGGCCTATCATCTTCATTGCGCATTCGTTAGGGGGTATCATTGTCAAACAGGCTCTTGTTTGGGCACATACGGAACCACGATACCAAGCAATAAAGGACCACACCCTTGGAATTGTGTTCTTTGGCACACCACACCGAGGGAGCGACAAGGCCAATTACGGGAGGATACTGGCCAATGTCGCCACAGGGGTTATGCACAAACCCAAAACAAGATTGATTGGTGCTCTACAGACCCATAGCGAGACATTGATGAGTCTCACTTCAGAGTTCAAGTTCGAAGCCCCCAATATGGAGATCATAACTTTTTATGAGACTAGACCAATGGGTATTTTCTCGCGCCTCGTAAGTACGAGAGGTATTGATTCCTCCGACTTCTGACTGACTGCTCTACCAGATTGTTGAGAAGCAATCCGCGCTTCTGGAATTAAGTCATGAAGACACTCAACCAGTGGATGCAAACCATCGGGACATGTGTAAATTCGACACGCGAAATGATGAGACTTACAAGAAGCTGGTGAAGAGGGTGAATCGGATGTTGAAAGGAAAGGACAAATCTTTGCCCGCTTCTGATTGTATGTGAGCAAGTAATCGACGAATCTATCGCTCAGAGGTCCATTGTATTGTCACCTCTTCCGCTCTAGTTGTCTGTCAACCCTCCGTTCATGTATCCTGTCGGTCAGCCGAAATACTCTCATCATTCACTGTACCTGTGTTCTATTCTGGGAGTAGTAGATTGGTGTAAATAGTGACTCTATGAATAGGTTCCCCCCCAAAGCTCCGCAACAAGCATTTCGAGCTCCCTTTTGATGTTAGCCCCTATTTTACCGGCGGTAATGATGTATGTGGCGAGCTTCGCGAAGGCTGTCTTCCGTTGGAGGATCCTCCTGCACAGAATATGCAACAGAGATTCGTTCTATACGGCCTCGGAGGGTCCGGCAAAACTCAAATGGCCTTGAAGTTTGCGAACGATTATAGAGAGAGGTATAACAGTGTTAGGGCATTGCTCTGCAAATGTCATCTCTTGTCGTAGCTTTGCTGATCCATCTAAAGGTTTTGGGGGGTCTTCTTCATCGATACCAGCAGTGTCGACATGGCTCGACAAGCATTTTCGAACATGGCCCGAGTATGCAAAGTAGGGGAAGGGATGGAAGACTTCAGAAGATGCCTCACCAATTCGCTGGAACCTTGGCTGTTGATACTGGACAATGCTGATGATCCATCACTAAACATCTCCCAATTCTTCCCCGTAGGTAATAGGGGTACCATCATCGTCACAAGTCGAAATCCTGATTGCAGATGTCATGCTACCGTTGGATCAAGAGAGCTGCGTGAAATGGAAAGCGATGAGGCTATTACTCTCCTGTTGAGATCTGGCGATCTTCTCAGCGAGAATGAGGATCTGCGAAGCATTGCCCTACCCATCGTCCAAACACTAGGATACCTAGCCCTCGCTGTGAGCCATGCTGGGGCTTCTATTCGACAAAGAGTTTGCTCTCTAGAGGATTATCTTGACAACTATGCGCGCCGTCGCAAGAAGCTACTGAGCAGCCGACCAGTACAGGCGGACTCAAATTATGAGTATACCGTCTATACAACGTGGGAGATATCAGTGGACTCCATAAAAGAGCTTTCGAACAATGCAACGGATAGCACTGCGGCCAATGCCCTCGAATTTCTGACTCTTTTTGGCTTTTGCCATTTTGATGACATTACGGAAGACATGTTTAGATCCGCATGGAAGGCGTTTGGCCGTACCGAGAGGTATACGTGGTGGGCTTCCAATTTGCCTGGTATGGTTCGAGATCGTCGGCTCTTGGAATGGGACTCCATACGATTCAATGAGTCCATGCGACTTCTGTCGAGCTATTCGCTCATACATGTCAGCGGACCAAACAATCGTATTTCGCTACATCCTCTAGTGCACTCATGGATTCGGGACTCCCTAAATGAAGAAGTGCATTTGAGATGGTGGATTATCACTGTATCGACACTGGCACTGGCAGCGGAAGTTCTCTTGTTCCCCGGGCAAATGCAATTAAGGGTCCATTTGCGCCATTGTATAGGCATTGGGCAAGTTGATGATCTCTTCGTAGAGGATGACGTCCTCTTGGATAGGGTACAAATACTTTCCTTGATCATCTCTGTATACGAATTTTTCCCAGGGAAAGATACCTTGACGCTTTCAGAGCGAGCTCTCGAATACAGCAGAAAATTACTCGGTGATGAATGCTACTCTACATGCCTACTATCCTATCAACTCTCGCGGGTTTTCTTTTATTTGCGTGAGTACCAGAAAGCTTCGGACCTACTCCAGGGTACGCTAGATGTAAGCATTCGGATACTCGGCCCAGCAGAGAGTTTGACCTTGGATATCATGCGTGAACTCGCTTGGGCATATACAGAGTTGGGTCGGAAGCAGGAAGCTCTAGAGCTTGCTGAGAAGAAATTAGCAGTTTGCGAGAAGTCGCTAGAGGAGAGAGATGCCCACACTCTATCAGCTTTGTGTGATGTTGCAGCGGGGTATAGTGACATGGGCCGATATAATGAAGCTATTGATGTCTTAGAGAATGCGATAGCAAAGAGAGATGAGATGTCCAACGAAGACATTAAGAACATGCTACATTTAGAACTCCTTCTGGCAGTTACGTATGACAGGTCAGGACGACATGAGGCCGCTTTCGAGATGTTTCAGAATACCCTAAAGAAGCACTTAACTCTTTACGGTGAGGACGATCCTTATACCCTCCTTACAATGGCTTATATCGCTAAGGAATATGGAGAAATCGGTCAGCCAGAGGAAGGGATACCGCTCATGATCAAGGCACTAGAGGTCGGGCAAGGAAGAATGCCAGACGAGTGGCTAGAAACACAGAAAGAAGCTCTCAAGTGGCTGCAATACAAGAGCGCACAGCTATATTTCTGAAAGCGCAAATACCTCAACGACCGTACCCGAAAGGTCAGTCAAGCCCCAGAAACTACCACATCAGGAGGGCGAAGAGATCTCGAGCAGAAAGGGGTGGAGGCTCTGGCCGAAAACTCGACGCCGCATAGGCGAATCTTCTTCATGAAGGAATCGACTGCAACGAACCTCACCGGCTCCTGGCGTCACTGTTCGGAGATCTTTCGTCGCCTCGCGCGAGAAGCCATCCCGGCCATTGACGAGTGTCTTGCCAGGACGCAGGTTCCAGGTCGTGAAGGACCAAACTCGTGCCAGTGAACACGAGGCAGCCGGTCTACGTTTTCGAACACGCATTCATTTGAGATCCTGGTGAGACGCTGGTAGGATTGGTTGCTCGGTTCTTGCGCGGGCTTGTTGCTCTGTTCTTGCATTACTGTTGCCGGAGTCTACGCGTGCGTTTCTTTAATGCTATTATAAAAACTTCTGAGCGAATGGAGTGTGCGCTCGCTGAGCGTGTCTGTCTGTCTGTCCCATGTTCATGCGAAAGCTTCTAGCACCAAAACATCCCAAGCCTTTCCGCATCGCCATCATGTGCGCACACTGCAAAGAATCTGAATATAGCATTCTCACCCACAGGTTAGGCTCTCGAAGCTACAAGCACCACTAAGCCCCACCGGTTCCGATGTTGAACATGGACGAAGCCTCCAAGTACCAGAACCTACGACATGCTCTCGCTCGACTCTCGAGAGTCCATCTCACATGCAGCAGCCTCGGGGAACTCAACGGGTTGCATTGTTTCCTTGATTTCACTTTCAATCGGCCACAGAAGGATCTATTAACCGAACTCCTCCGTCGCTACCCAACCGTGCTATCGTATCCACTCCAGACCCCAAGGCTTAGGAACGCCCAACATGGACGTAGAAGTTTCTTCGCTCAGTCATAACATTCGCAGCAGCCGCGCTAATCTCGTGTCTGAATGAATCAGCTATTTTGAGTGAGTCCCCGAGCCGTCTACGCTATATCTATCAAGCAGACGCAAAGCATCTTTTTGCCTATAGTCATCGTTCTGAGGCGATATCTCGCATCGCCCATGCTGCTGTTTCCGATTTTCCGCTTTTGCGAGGTCGATGTCCGCGGCGTCTGTGGTGCCAAATGTGGTTTCGCTGGTCCGATTTGAGATACGAGGGATGATTTGATTGATCATGTAGGTGCAGTCTGTTGCCGCGGCGGGCTCTAGGTGGATTTAAACAGTCGATTTGATCTCCGCTCTCCACGGCCTGAGATCCTGGACAAACTTCCTGAGTCTACTGGTATCCCGTTTGGAAAAATCGATTGCTGGCTGCGAATGGATGCGCGTGATATTCGCAGCTATCCCGCCGGCCCCCTCGCCATCGAGGAAGAACCCTTTCCTCAACTCGCCTATCCCACTCGTCCCCTCCTTCGGACTCACCACTCCCTCAACACATCCCTCAATAATCCTATTCGCCGTGAGCGCGACGTCGAAGAACGATGCACGTGCGCTAAATCCGGCATCGCTGGTACCGTCGTCGCGGTCGGGCGTAGTCGACGGCGGCGGTTGTGTGGTATCTATCTTTCTCGAAACATCCGCTCTTCGAAGACGTTGGCTGCGGGGAGGAAGAGGACGTCGTTGGTGAGGGAAGAGTGGTCTGGTGGGGGGAGGAGTGGCGTGTGGGGACTGTATAGACACCGTACCGGATGTGGTGGTGTGGTGAGTGTGAAGGAGCTTTTCGTTGTAATGTTGCTGGTCGCTGTGGTGGGGAGGCTCCGCCTTGGCGTGTTGAGGGGCTGTGTGGAAGTGGGGGGAGGGAGTGAGAAGGGAATGATGCGCTGGAAGAGGGCTGAGGTCATCGTGGTGAGTACAGGGGATGCATTGGATGGGCATTGATCAGGTATGCGGCTGGTTAGACTTCAAACCCAAAGTAGGTGCTGAAAAGAGCTTGCAGTGTAAGTGCTAGACGTCTCTACCGACGGCGCTCGCGGCAAGTATGAAACTGAATTGCGCGCTCACGGTGGTGGCGACCCAGTCAAAGATTAAAGGACTGCATGATAGTATTAGGATATAGAAGATACACAGGTGGGACGAATCTCATTATGCTAAGCGCCAGTCAAGTCTGAGAACTGCCTTGGATTTCCATCTAAAATTCACTGTGTTGATATTGAGGGTTTCGCTATCATCGACTATCAGTGCAAACGCCTAGATCATTCAGACTTTGACCCAGTCGTCCTTCTCTTCCCCGTCAAACCCAAGCTCCACCCAACCCTCCACGTCCAGCACGGCTTCTCCCTTTGACTCTCCCGGTGAATCAGCCTGTGCGAGCGCATTTTCGGCCTTTCTGTCAGAGTTTGAATTCAACATGTGGTGGTGTGGAGGGTAGAATGCTGGCGGAGGCGGATATGCTAGCCGGGGCATAGTTGTGCGGGTCGATATTGAGGTCTCAGCAGCTGCTGTTGATGTAGCGGACGCCCGGATCAAAGCACGTGATGCCAGACTGACTTTGGGAGGCGCTGAGCTCGGGATTGGTGTTGTTTGCGCCGGTGTTAAGGCGGGTTTCACAACTCGAAGAGTGTGTAGAAAAGAGCATGCAGGTGAGCGTCGTACATGTTCATCAAGAGGATCATCACTGCATTCCCAGTTCATGAGTGTAAGGCCACAAGTGGAGCATGTAGCTAGGTCTCGGTTTTGAGAGTGTTGCTGTTGATGAAATCCAGCTTTGGCCATCGCTGAGGCATTAGGGGAGGTGTGTGGCCATGAGGTGTAGGAAACGACTCTCGTCAGGTATGATTCTGGGTTATTAGGCGGAATTGATGTTGTCTTGGGCAGAAGAAAGCTCGGTTTCTGCACAAGGCGTTTGAGAGGTGCCTGGTGTGGGCCTGACAGTCTGGGTTGCTGGTCCATTTTAGATGTATGTTTCTCTTGTGTAATCTCTTGGATCGCTTGAACCAAGCAGCGAGCGCTAGGTAGCCTGAGGAAAGTGACGTGTATGAGGACCAGTTTAATTCACAGGGTTACAACTTTGGATTGGAGCCATTCTGTGAAGTTGGTTGAAAGTACTGAGTCGGACGAGAGAAAACAAGTCTACAAGGTGACGAGCAAACACCACGGACTGAGTGAGAGCTTTACCCGATTGGGTTAGCTCCCGTCAAAAGCTTGCCTGATGGAAGGGTGTTAATGTGTCAGAAGGGGGTGTCAGATGTCAATGTATCAGGAAGAGATGTTAAAGTATCGCTGTGATGGGGTGCTACCGGTGCTGAAAGTGAACCATGCAGAGCATGTAATTTATCTATACATGAGAAACCTCGCTAGTATTCGAGCAAAGACTCAGAACTATATCTTTTGGTGTCCCAAGGCTTGAAGAAGAATACTTCTCTCAAAATGAAGCTGAGGTAACCTGAGCACTTAGGATACTCTCAAAGGCACCAGGCCTTCATTTTTCCTTCGTCGATTTGTTTTTGAACAAAGTCATGTTTCGGAGGACGATATCATTGTTGGTGTGAAGTATCGACGGTAGTCACTGTCGAAATAAGGTTCCCAGCCTCCTCTCAGCCACCTGTTGAAACAATCACCTAATTTATAAGAGATATAAATATTAGTCTAGAGGAGTCCTGAGATAAAATAATTTATATAATCTATATATTATTTATTCTATTATATCTAATATTTTAATAGATTATAAGCTCGAGCTTAACGCTTAAGATATTATTACTTAAAATATATACTATTCTATATTTATTCTAATTAATTATAGACCTCGAAATCTTTTTATTTAAGTTATTTATTCGTTAGCTTATAAATAATAATTACTCTAAATAATTTATCGATATTAAAGCTCTTTTTAGAGATAAAAAGCTTTAAAATTATATATAAAAAGCTTTAAATTTTAATAAATTAATTACGATTTAAATTAAATAGTATAATTTAATAATAAAAATTATAGATCTTATTATCTTTATTATAAATAATCTTATTAAATAAAATTTTTAGATTAACGCTTTTAATAATAATTATTTTATAATAATCTTTTTAGTTAATATCTATATCTCGAAAGAGAATATCGAATTTATATAATTAATTTAAGAGTATTACTCGCTTTAATACGAAGATTTCAACTTTATAATCTACTATCTTATTTAAATTAAGACTCTTAAGAAGCGTATTCGCGATATTAATATAATTCTTAATAATAATAAATAAACTCTTCTATATCTCGATATAACTCTCTTAAAATAATTTTAATATTTTATTAAGATATAGACTATAACGCTAAGAATAAATATTAATAAAATAAAAAATATATTTTTAAAGAAAAAGAGATGTAAAAAGACTTTAAATATTATAAAGATAGAATTAGTTATAATAATAAGATATTCGAGTAAAAGAATCTTAAGTAAAAAGGCTATTCTAAACTACGAGTATAAGATAAAATATTTTTATTATAAAAAATCTTATAAGAATAAAATTTATTAAAAGTTATATTCGAAGTTAATCTTAAAATAGCTATAAGAAAGATAAATTATTAAAAAAAGATTTTAAAAGTAAAAATGGGATAAGTTATAGTAGTAGAATTAAGAGGTATTAGATAAAAAGAAAGTATTTATTAATTTATAACGACTAGGAAGGCTTATCGGTAACGGTTAGAAAGGCTTATCGATGACGGCTAGGAAGGCTTGTCGATAACGGTTAGAAAGGCTTATCGGTGATATCAGAAAGGGTAAGAAAGGTATTAGGAAGGGTAGTAAGAAAGGCACCAGGGAGGGTATAACATTATTTTTCTATATAGTATTATATTTTGAGTAAGCTAGGGGAGGCTGGTTATAGGGGAGTATCGGAATAAGATTTCTAGCCTCCTCTCAGCTACCTATTGAAATAACCACCTAATTTGTGAGGGGTATAAATACTGGCCCAGGGGAGTCCTGAGATGGAATAATTCATGCAATCTACACACCATTCATTCTACCATACCTGATATCTTGACAGTCACTCCCTCGGGCATGGGTTGGGGACGCCCGAGATGGGGGAAAGGAGACCCGAAGGCTCGCAGGAGACTGATACCATCAGGGTCACAGGGAGAATGAAGAGTCATCTGACCCTTTGGCTTATTGAGATTGCCTACCAAGTTTGATATGAGCTTGCAATATTTGGACTTAAGTATTCATTCCGTCGTTCTTGTCGATATCGCAAGACTGGAAAAATGAGAGACTGGAAGCTCAAAGGAAATACGGTTCAGGTGTCCGAGTTTCAGTAAGCAACATGTATCTACAGCTGACCTCGTCCAAAACATACAACCTGAAATTGCAACCAATGGACGAATAATGCAGGAATTGAATCCCGAATCTCAAAGTCAAGCAACAAGCTATATACATCTTTAAGCAACCCTATGAGTGGCCAAGTTAGGTAGGGAGGTTATGATACTGGTTTCGAACTGCTCCTCACTTTTGCGGTCACAGCTCGAGAATCAAACACACCTGAGGCGAACAATCAGTATTTTCTAGCAATTTAGCGGGACAGTATGCATATCCTTGTCCCCAAAAGACTCTGATACCACAATCAACGAATGCTTACATCCTATTACTCTTGCACGAGCAACCATCTGTGACTTGCGGGTCCCAAAGGTCTTGGGATACTCTAAGCGGGATTTTTCTTGTGTGGATGTTGTATGAACTGATCATTGGAAATGGTATACACTCAATGATCTCATATCAATATAGAATAGTTATTTATTGTCATATTCTATGAAGAAGTATATAGTAAGAATAAAGATAACTATCTATCTATGGTATAAAGTCATACTAAGGCTATTTACCATCATAAGACGTAGTTATAATATCTATTTAAAACTTAGTAGTATGTGAATATACTGGCCTTCTATTAGCTAATTTTAATACTTCTATATAGTTTAAATAATAACTAGAAATACTATTAGTTCTAATACTTCTATATAATTCGAATTTAGATTATTTCTCTTATTTACTCTTCTAGAGTTTAATTTAATATATAAATATTATAAATTTATTATTAATAAGAGCTTTAATAAGCCCATCCATAGTTATATCATTAGTAGGTACTTATTTAAATATAATTGCTCCTATTTTCACTTAATCTTATATAAAATACTATTAAATATTAATATACTTAATATATAAGTAAAAGCGAGAGTTCTTAATTAATATAATAGCTTTTTAATTATCTATTTTAATTAATATTAATCTATTAGATAATTCGAAGCTAATATCTAATTTACTTAGAAGTTTAATTAATTAAATAGCTTTCTTTATTATCTAGATTTAAGTTATATATTTAATCTTATAAGATAATAATATAATAAACTATTATCGTTTAGATATTTAATTAATTATCTTATTATAGAGTAAAAATATATAGACTTTAAAAGATTAATGAATCTCTTAATTTAAGATTTAATTAATATTTATATAGTCTTTTAATATATTAGTTATCTTATATATAATATTATAAATTAGTATTTTCTTTAAATAATAAATAACTTATTTAATAGCTATAATATATTTTAAATTAAGATTATAATTATATCGTAAAAAAATTATAATAATAAAATAGATATTTAAACGAGTCTAAATTATAAGATATATTATCGATTTTATTATTAATTAATACTTCTAAATAACTTCTAATTTAGCTTTATTAATTAGTTTCTCTTATAGTTAAGTATCTACTATTATTAATATAGAGATAAATATATAATTATTTATATTAAATCGTAATAATATCTTTCTTAAATACATCGTTTACGTAATTCGAATAATTCTCTCCCTTCGATTTCTCTAGATTTTTATATCTAAATAATATAAGTATAGCCCGAGATCGATTATAGCGAATTATTTATAAAGATCTTATTTAAATTTTAATATTAGTTTTAATTCTTTTAGATTATAAATCTAAATATTATTTATATATACGCTAATAATAAGTTATATTTTCTTATTAATAAAGAGTAAGTAATTAGATTTAATTAATTTAAATTCTTTAAATATAAGAAAGTTTTATAGAGTAAAGTACTATTCTCGTAGTGACTGCTTTAAATTATATAATACTCTAAATAGCAAATATATCTTATTATCTTTCTTCTTATATTCTTTAAATTATTTTATATAAATAATTTTCTTTAATAATATATTAAAAAATATAATAATAATATTTATTTACTTATAGTCTAGATTATAATATATTATAATTATAAATAATATCTTAAATAATATAAATTTAATAATTAAGACGAAGATTTAGTCGTAATTAACGTCATAGATTTATTTAAAATCTCGAATTATTTAGCGTATTTTATAGAGAATAAAGTTATTAAGTTTCTTCTTTATCTTATAGATCCATTTATTAATAAGAATTAATATATTCTTTATTCTCGAAATAAGCTTCTAAATATTTATTATAATAAAGAAATTTATTTACTTATTTATAGTCTTCTTTTATTATTTAATATAAAGACTAATTATTATCTAATTATAGATTAATAACTCGAAATTATTAATCTTCGTAATAGTCTATTAATATCTTATATTAATTATTTATTAAATAATAATAGCGAGATTAAAAATGAGATTAAAATTATAATAATTTAAATTTTTATAATTTAATATAACTTATCTATAATATAAATATTTTAATTTAAGAGTCTTATTATACTTAATATAAGTAATAATTCTTTAGACTTATATCTTAATCATTAATCGAAAAGATATAATATAATATAAGATATTGACCTGCTATATTATACTCTAATATGATATGAAATATTAATATTTATATGATTCTATATCTAATATAATATGGGATCTTAACGGGATATATTACGATATAATATATCTGTGATATTATATCATAAAATGATATATGTATGAGATATCCCG